TGCCATCATTCTCTAAAAGTGATCTATGCTTCAAGGGGGAGAAGAAATGGCTCCAAAATAGGGTGCCTGTCCAAGACAACTGGCTCCAAAAGACACCCAGGGACTGTCCTTGGCCAGCTCCCACCTTCCTCCTCCATCCTGGCCCCCGGGATTCTGGTATGTCAGGCACCAGATTTGCAGGAAGGAGGACATTTATGGCTGGGGAAGCATTTTCTGTCCTCCGCCCTGACCTCACTTCTCCTCCCCAGTATATCACCCCTCCCTAGACCTGCACATGCCCATCGTGGTCTGCAAGGAGCTCAGCTGCCACCTCCTGAGTCCAGCGTGGTAGGTTTTGCTTCTCAGCCCCTCTTCCGTGGGCTTTTTTAGCTTTTGGGTGCTGGAGGTGCCATATCCTGCTGTCAAATCTGCAGGATCACACCTTGCTGACAAATCTGCTTAGTTTTTATACTGTTTCTTCAAGGCATTTTGCTTGATGGTTGGCCTATTTAAGTCTGAACAAAACGGGGAGGAAAAGGTTGATTATCATATCACAACTCTTAATTGCCGGGCTCCTGTTCTTGATTGTCTAGGTGTAAAGACTGTGTGCACAGATGATGGGCTTTGAGTGTCAGACAGGATACTTAGAGGTGTCACCACCAAACCTGTTTTGGGGTGCTTGTATATCAATGGGGAGCTTGTACTGGTGGTGGTCTATTTACCAAACTGCAGACATGCAGTGAATGGCTTGCACATTTCTAACACCTTAGAGTGACTTTGGGTTCCTGGTTTGAGCAATGTGAGACTGTTGGATACAGAACATCCCCCCTGTATTCAGTGTACCTTTTACAGGTTTCTTTTGAGATGCATATATAGCCTTTTGTTTCCTTTGGCTGCTAGGTCAATTGAAATGCATATGTGGTTTCCTTGCCTTCACTGGCTCACCTTTGTTTAAAGGGCCTTCTGAGGTACACACAAGTGATGAGCACATCGGGTCTCTGCCAACAGTTTTAACCACTTTTATTATTGTATGGCTTGGGTCTGGTATTGGGTACTGCAAGCACTTCCCTGTCTCAATGCCTAATGGGTTACAAGCCATTAGTGGAGTTTGATTTTCTTGTGGCAGTCTTGTTACCACAATCCAGTCTTGCCCCAGCCACTGTCCTGCATTTCTATTTTATGTCCAAGCTTTCACAATTTTCATATTTCATTGATGTTGAATGTGTAAGTGGCTGTGCAGGTTGGGGGAAACACATATAGGTGAGGGGGTGTATGTCAAAGGAACTGAAATCCTCACCACCCCTTTCCAAGAGGGGAGCATGGGTGCAGATCAGTTAAGGTCACGTGATATGTCTTCACAAGGCCTGACTTCAGGCTGGCTTCCCAAATGCAGTTCTCACTGTTTTTGCGACGTAGTCTTATGGAGAAGAGGATCGTGTGTTACAGAAGTAGGTGCGTAAGCATTTTGGTCAGTGCCTCGACCAGGGTGGAATAGGAGCAGAAGGAAGCAACTCAGTTTACTAGGGCCCCTACTAGCCAAAATGGGTCTGGCCCCGTGTGGGGATGCAGGCAGCCTCATTTGCTGCGAAGAGAAAGGCCAAACGGCTGCTTCTGTCCCATGGCAGCTCCAGCAAGTACCTAAGGACATGGGAAAGTGCAGGTGGGACCCTGCTGATGAGGGTCCACTTACACCCATGGCCACAGCCATCCTAGGCTCCACGTCGTATTGGATCATGACATTCCTCCGGGAGGAATAAAGCCAGGAGATGTTCTGTTTTCATAGTTTCATAGTAGCTAGGGTCAGGAGGGACCTGAACAGATCATCGAGCCTGACCCCCTGCCACAGGCAGGGATGGATTCTGGGTTCACAAGACCCCAGACCGGTGTACATCCAACATCCTCCTGAATTTGTCCAAGGTAGGGGCGAC